ACCATCCAAGGGGAGCAGTCTTTGCAGATAGAGAGACTGATATAAAAACGACAGACCAGTAATAATTATTACTAGTAATAGATTAAAACAATTCACTTAACTAATGTATGAATCTTGGCGTTTTAAGTTTTTTTTTGCATCCAAATTCATGAAGGAATCCATCCAAAGACTGGATGTAAAAAAATCCATGAAACTCCAAATTGGGATTCATTTATAAGTTCAGTATATATATATATATATATATATATATATATATATATATATATATATATATATAGCCGTCATTTATTGATACCCTCTAACGAGTGGACGGTGTGATTCCCGGATGGCCCGTCAGCGAAACTCAGGAGTTGAGATTGCTGAAGGTAACATCAATCAACTAAGGGACAAGCCTTTCACTTGTATTAATTATATATATATATATATATATATATATATATATATATATATATATATATATATATAATTCACCACTTCACCAAGGGAATATCACCTGCAATAAACCCAGACCATATGCCAAGTCTGTAAACATATCATCACTGGCAGCAATTTCGCACACCTCAGCACAATATTCAAACCACCATCTCTAACGTGTGACAGTTCTAATTTTATATATTTACTTTTCTGCCACAAATGCAAAAAAAAGGGCGGGGAAGGCAATCATGTGGATAAACAAGCACGAAATTCCGTCTTCGGTGCAACAACCATAAAAAAATTAAAGAAAACAACAAAACCGATTGCTGCACACTTCAACCAAACGTTTCATAGCATTGATGATATCAGATGCGTGCTTCTAGCGCCTTCATTCGACAGCCGACAAGAAAGACGCACATCGAAGTTGAAATATATTTTCAAAATAAATTCACACATTGAGGGATTAAACAGGGATTTGCGTTTACTCAGGGCTTATAATTTCTACAGGACGCCATTTAACCAACAATAACAGCGTTCCTCAAAAGACTGGGTTCCACTTCTTTGGGTTTTTTTTTTGTTGAAAAAGCACACAGGCGTGTCCAAAATTACGATTTTTAAATTTTTCTTTTCGTGCATCAATTCAGTCAAAAGGCTAATATATAATAAATATCATCAATCTTATTACCAGTATTGTTATTATTTTGCTAGATTTTTTATTCTTCAGATTTTATTAACCGCCCTTTTAAATCTACATACATACATGTGTACATGTACACACACACACACACACACACACACACACACACACACACACATATATATATATATATATATATATATATACTTCTAAAGGATTAATGTATTTTATTTTTAATCTGACCTATTTTTTTGACTTCAAAAATTATTTTTAGGGGATAATCGTATTGGAGTAGACGCTCCATTTATTTTAAACATTATTCATTTCGTCTACCGGATGGGATATTATTTTATCAAGTCTTCTCGGGTACGCAGGCGGGGGTAGATGAAATAAATATTGTTTATAATAAACAGAGCGTCTACTCAAATACGAGTATCCATTAAAAATAACATTTTAACCTGACAATAGGCGAACATATCTACACCTATTATATATATGCACGCGCGCGCGCACGCACACACACACACACACGCCACGCACACACATATACAGGGAGCGATGGGTAAATTGTCGCCATTTTATATTTTTAATTTCGTGCATGCGCGTTGTTTGTTTTCGATTGTGTCGACTGCTCAGTGTAATAAGGTCAGTTCTATGAGAAAAAGAACACCATGACGCACAGCCAGAAATTTGGAAATGGTATGCTGTATTGCTTGGCATTCACACCGGAAGCTCCAGTACAAACATTTCAGAGTGTTTGAGTGTCAATCTGGGACAGTGTAGAGAATTCGGAAATAGTTAAATGACTCTATGTTATTGAATAAATTTACTCTTTAGTATTTCAAGATATTTTGTGTAATTTTGATAAATATATCTGTTAAAATGTAATGTTAGTGTTATTTTTATTTTTGCGTAAGTTATACGACAACTTATCCATCGCGGTCTCTCTCTCTCTCTCTCTCTCTCTCTCTCTCTCACTATATATATATATATATATATATATATATATATATATATACTGAAGAAAGAAGTGACAACCATATATTAACTGAGATATAAAAAAAAATATAATCTGAGAAGAAAGCGAAAAAAAAAAAAACGAATAAACATAGAAATGTTATCAATACCTTCTGCGATAAACTACATCCGCGTTCTGGGTAAGACGATAAACTACGTCCAACAGCAAGGCCTCTGATCAGGAGGTTTTGAGGAACTTAGAATTGCTGGTGTTCCCAGGCCCACCCTGACCCGGGGTTGTAGGACCTGTTAGGATCCCAGCTATGGGCAAATATTTGGGGTCAAACTGAGGTCAAAACACTATAAAAGTGTAAAAATAGGTTTTAATATCAGAAATACTTTGTAAAAAAAGTTATTAGCAGCAATACATTTTTAATTTTTTGAAGAAAAATTATTATCAGCAATACATTTTGAAAAAAACATAATACCAGGTATATATATATATATATATATATATATATATATATATATATATATATATATATATTACAAGCGATACTTTTTGAAATAGATCTTTGAAGGAAAAAAAATTACCCAGTAATAGATTTTTGGAAAAAAAGCGCTTTAAAAAACAGTTTTTCTTAAAAAAAAAACAACCGTACTAGTTCGTGCCTGATGAGTTGGTAAAATCACGAAAACTTTTAAGTTGCACTACGAACGTACGTATATGTATATTTTAATATATATATATATATATATATATATATATATATGTGTGTGTGTGTGTGTGTGTTTGTATGTGTGTGTGTGTGTGTGTGTGTGTGTGTGTGTGTGTGTGTGTGTGTGTGTGTAAGTGGACATTGAAGTCAACACCTAGCGGTGACAGTTTATTTCATGTTTAAAACGCAGTCTTCAGTCCATCCACTTTTATATTTCCATAAGCTCTATCCCTGATATTGAGCACTTTAACCGATAAATATAGCATACCTTAAAACTCTATTTTTATCATATATGATTATTATATATCTGTGTGTGTGTGTGTGTGTGTGTGTGTGTGTGTAAGTATAATTACTTATATAATTCTTTTTGTAATTTAATTATTACTTATATCATGCATGTTTGAAAAAACATTGTGATTAAATTTAAAGTTACTAATGTAAGTGCTTCTTTTCTTGTATTAATTAAAAATAACAGATAATATAAGTTAATGACTTTTTAAATTCTTTGATCTTTTCTATCCAATTCTGTGTATTAATGTTATTTTAAAATCGGGTTGATTGTAATTAAACAAATAGGTATCAAAGGCAACATACTTACTGATATTTACGTGTGAGCCGAAGAGCTTTATCAGCGAAGGGTATTAGTGGCTTATCGGTAAAAGCCTATAATTAATACAGGACTTTTATAAACAGGTAGTTAATACCAGATTTTTTTTCTAAAAATTACAGGATTTTATATCTGGTTTTAAAAGGTTAAATTGATTTGATTGTTTTTTGTCATTGATCAGTAAGTGTTATTTCCTACTTGCTTCTGTTTAGAAAACAAAGGAAATGACCTTATCTTTTCTGACCTGGACAGATGAGAAAATAGAGCCATGAAATTCGCAATCGCACGAATTTAGACGGAACCAACTGACCACTCAAACAATTGTTTCTTCTGCATGGTAGACCCTTGCAAACGTCGAGCTGGCAAGAATGAGCCTGCTATCATATAGCTAGACGTTCTGTCATCCATCGCCCCATTGTCAAACTGCCCTGAGTTCCCCGTGTCCACCGCTCCAAAGAGAGAAAGCAATCGTCTTCAGAAGAGAACAGCAATTCAGAAGAGGATGAAGCCATTGATCTAGATTACAGAAGCGCAGCTGAGGAGAGAGACCCATAGTACCCTAAACAAACGTCAAAGACCTGATTAGAGATCATGGCCTTACAAAGTCCAATACCGAGCTTTTGACGTTGAGTCTCGAGCAGTGGAATTTGTTAGATGAAACTATGCAAGTCACCAGTCAAAGAAAGCGTCACCAGTGTTTCTCAAGCTTTTTCACCCATCAAACTGTGACATTCAGCCACATTATGACTGTTCTGATTTGGTTTGGTTTGGTTTGTTTTACGGCATATCGACCTCAATGGGTTATTTAATGCTGACAAGATTTTATTGCTGTTAATATTTTTTTTCCAAAAAATGTATTGCGACTTCTTTTCGGAGTTAGCTATTTGCCCATAGATGGGACCCTGACAGGTGCTACCAACCCGTGTCAGGGTGGACCTGGGAACACTAGCAATTAAGAGGTGGTTCCACACTCCTCAAAACCTTCTGATCAAAGGCCTTACTGTCGGATGTAGTTTATCATTCTGTATGAGGCAATTGGAGACGCCTGTAACCCCAGAAAATGACACCTCTTCATCGACAGCTCATCCTGAAGTCTCAAAACTGCTTCATAACGAAAAAGGGTATCCACCTCTTCTCCTAACCCACTCGGTGCAGCTCAAAGATGAATACAACAGTACCAAGATCTTGCCAGATCCCTTGAAATATGAAGAGTACAGTTGGGAGGTTATCGGAGACTTCAAAATTGTAACCTTCCAAGTTGGCTTTGCACAATTTCCGTGTTATCTTTACCTTTGGGAAATCAGTGTCACCGTGACACACTATCAGAGTTAGATTCATAAGTTTCCCAAGGGTATTTGCCCATAAGTAAGTGAAACGAACTCGAATGGAATTGGAACTCGGAGCTCCGATTTCCAATTCCGAGGCGTTATCTATTACACCATCCGCACATCCAACTTTACAGCACCTGATATTCCCAAACAGCCACCCATCTGACCATGTCGACGTTGTTGAAAATAAATAAGCCATAGCTGGGGAGAGAAGAGGTGGATTCATACCTTTCCCAAGGGTATTTACACATAGGTGTATATAACGAACCTGACTGGATTTCGAACTCTGGCCTTCGACTTCTCATTCCGAGCATTTACCCATTACACCGCACCCAAGCTTATAGCACCTGGCATACCCCAGCGATCACCCATTTAGATACTGACCAGGTTCAACGTTGCTTAACTTCGGTGATCGTACGAGAATCGGTGTTTCAAAGTGATACGGGCGCAAATCGAAATGGATAGCGGCCGGATTGAGGAATCGGAGAGCCGATTTCGAATTCCAGTCGAATCCATTAGATTCACTTACGTGCTAATAGCCTTGTGAAAGATATGGATCCTCTTCTTCTCTCCCCAGCTATGGGTAAATAGCAGGACAGACCGGGTTCTATAGCCTTGGATGGCAACTGGTCTACCGCAGAAAGAAATGGCATCCTACTGCGGGAAAATATCTATCAGTCATGTATCGAAAGATACATGATCGCCTAAACGTGTATCACGCATGGCACAGAAGTGATTGACTAACTGATTAAAAAAAACAAAAAACCAACAAAAAAAGACAAGAAACCTGAAACACAGCCAGGTTTGTCTTAACTATCAACCTTTTGAATACAAATGCCTCACTGAATGGTCAAAAAGTTTGTGTTGTCATAAAGGCCAAACACCCACACATATTGTTTACTGAGACGGCGCTGGTGAAGAGTGAAGAATTTTCTTGTCGCTTTTTAACTCCTGGACCGAGTGATGTATAGGTTTATTAGATTGTTATTTTTGCTTTATTGGACCACTTAGAGTGCGGCACTAGAAAGTGTGTGTCTAACGGTGCCGCCGTCCGAGGCAACCAGTGGAAAGAATTCTAACACGTTGTCAAGAAGACAGTAATAAAAGTGCTTCAAAGGACCGGAAATAATTCAAAGTATACGTACACACTGAAAAATCTACACACGTTTCCCTGAAATAGCGACACATAGTCCTACCTACACGCACGCACGAACGCAACTATATGCAATATGTCTATACCAAACGTATTGAAATTTTCACACATTTCAAATGCCTCATTGCATCTGTTTAAAGCCTATACGTACATGCAGCTGTGTGTCGAGGATATCTTTATATATAAGGGTGGATCTACCATATATTTTATACAGATAGGTACGCACACACGTACACCATAAATTTCTACTTTTGCTAAATAGACGTGTCTAGGTACATTATTTGTACTCGATTAGAAAATTACACAGGCACACACATGCACAAGCACGCACGCAGACACACACACATACACACACACACACACACACACACACACACACACACACACATATATATATATATATATATATATATATATATATATCACAGCATGTTTGACGAATATAGGGTTATAAAATGTTTTAAATCCATATTCTTTTACTAGGAATCTAAGAAATAAAAAGTCTATAAATGTACTATATAATATATATACAAAATAATATATGCATATATATATATATATATATATATATATATATATATAAAGTATAATGTATACACACAACCGCTATATATATATATATATATATAAATTATATAAAAATGAAACTCAATTGTACTCCACCTATATGGACATTTCGCTCCTCGGGAGATTTATCTCATAGAGAAATTCACTGGAGCTTGTCAATACTAAAACTTATGATAAACAAAAAAACGTTTTTATCAAACGTTTTAGTATTTAAAAACTCCAGGAAATTTTTCTAATTGAGAAATCTCTCGAGGAGCGAAATGGCCATATAAATAGGGTACAATTGAGCTTCATTTTTATGTAATTCATTTATATGCTCGATAATATATATATTGAGCTCGCTTTTGTGGATCAGTTTTAATATGTTATATTATTAGGATTCACCTGGACTACTTACCCAGGGATTTTTACGTTTATATATAGATAGATATATAATAAACATAAAATATAAAAATAAATTTAAATATAAACATAAAAATATATAAAAATATAAAAAATAAATATAAAAAAAATGAGCCTTGAGTTCAACACCAAGCGACGACATGGGAAGGGAAGACTTGGTAGCTCCTGCCCATGTATTGCAGTAGTACTCCATTTTCGATCTGATCTGGCACTTGTAAAGGTGGACCATAACAGAAAGAGTTACTGGATCGGCGCAAAGAATTATTATTATTATTATTATTATATATCTGTGTGTGTGTGTGTGTGTGTGTGTGTGTGTGTGTGTGTGTGTGTGTGTGTGTGTGTGTGTGTGCAAATATATTAAAAAAAAGTAGGAAAGAACCGTTAGAAGTTCTTTAGTATTTTTGTTTTTATTTTTTAAAATAGTGCTCAATATACAAGTAGAGCCTATATTATAATTATTTTAGTAAAATATATATATATATATATATATATATTTTATTATATATATATATATATTTATATTCATTTATTATATTTATATATATATATATATATATATATATATATATATATATATATATTATATTCAACACTATCACTTCATAAAACACCAAAGTGTTGAAGCAAAATGGCTATTTTTGTAGTGATTTTGTAACATATTAATTATATTTGCTCTACTCTGCATTGAGCACTCTTTTAAGAATAGTATTTGTTGATTATTGGAATTTATTCCGTATACACCAATCCTATATATATATATATATATATATATATATATATATATAAACATTTCAAAACACGACAGAAACTTTCTATAAACGAATATACGTTCATCCTGCTAAAGATTCTTCGCAAAATTGCCAGAAAATTATTCTGAGATTGTATTCATATTATATGAATTCTACTGGCAAATTCTTTTTCTCCTTATTCCCAACCTACCACCGCCATATATTTTCTGTATATAGGAAATGTTTTAAAATATGATATGTAAACTGAAGGAAATCCTAGACAAGTTTGCAAAGGAAAGCGGGTAGAAACGAGTAACTATCAATTGGAAGAAGACAGAATGTATAGTTGTAATCAAAAGAAAGAGTTCAAGATACAAGCAACGAATTGGAGATATCAACTGTAACCACATACATAAGCCTAAACACATGGAAAGCGTTTTAACAAATGGCGGGAAAATTGACATACATACCTAGGCACGCTGCAATAGCAGCTGAAACTATCGACCTTTATTTCTTTGTGACAATTTTACAATGCATTTTTATAGTAAAATCGTTACTTATTTTCTATATTAAAATTATTTGCAATGCATTACTATCTATGCTTTTACAACTTGCTGTCACTAATCATGTAATCATTAGTGGAATAATATTTTATATATTTGTAACTCTATTTACATTATTCGGACTATTGTCCTCATCCTTGTTGTCATATTTATCACAACGTTTCGGCTGTTGTATGCTCCGGCCTTCTTCAGGTGGTTGGAATGTCGAACTGAACCCTTTATTTTGCTCGCTGCAGTAGACTGTTCTAGTTCCACGTGCTATGTCTAATGGATGTCAGTTACCAGTTATCTCCAGGTAATTCACCTCTTTAAGTTCTCCACTGCCTTGACCAGGTATTGGACTCACACTGTCACTGGATCTAATCAACGCCTTTATCCACTGTGCCATGTGTCCTTAAATACATCTGTGTATGAATTTCTGGGATTTATAAACTTAATGTTTTCAGTAACCATTTTTTACCAGTGCTCATGCTGCAATTTTTGCTGTTATCATTGCATGTTTTTTTACCAGAGATCATATTGCAATTTTCGTTGTTATTATTGCTTTTCTCTGGCACTCCTTATTACTGGTTCCCATATTGTATTCATTTCTATGCTTGGTCGGCTCAGGAGATTTTTGTGACCTAGCATATATGCTGATTCCTTAAGTTTACAAATTTTCCTAAGATGTCCTTTGTGACAATTTGCAAAGTATTTTTAGAATAATATCGTTATGAAATATTTTACTATAGTAAAATCATTTGCATTGAATATCTATACGACAATAATTTACAATGCGTTTTTGTAATGAAACACTTGCAGTTCATTTTTCCTACGAAAATCATTGCAAAAATTTAGCAAACCGTTGCAGGTTATTTTTAGCCAAAAATGGAGTACTGCTACCACATATGGGCAGGAGCTGTCCAGTCTTCACTTTCACTCCAAAGGCGTTTCCGCTTACTTGTGGGTGACAAATTATTTTCCACACGAAAACCCTTTTCTCACAAAAGAAACACCGGAAGCCTCTCGTTGCTCTATCGCTATTTCCATGGAAAGTGCTCAGACGAACTACATTCCTTAGTTCCCCCAGTTCTAACCTTCATGGTTAGGACCCACCATGCTACGCACATTCTAGCGAACCACCCTCATTCTCTTCGGTGAGATGTAAGTTCCACTCGAACAGCTTCTTCACGCAAATTGCAGCTCTATAGAACCGACTCCCAAAAGGATATTTTTCACGATCACTACAATGTTCAAGTCTAGGATTAACCGTTATCTTCTCCATATACGCGTTAATAAACTTTGCCTTTTATTCTCTAACCCTCTACCTCGAGTGGCTCCCGGGCCTTGCACAGTGTGAATATAACTGTAAAAAAAAAATGAGCGAAATGAACTCAAAGGTTAAATTGCATTTAATTCAAAAATTAATTTGAAAGCTAAAAATGTAAATACCCAAAATAGGCTTAGTTTTTCAGGGAAATTGCTGTAACTGCGTGTCGTCTATTATTTGAGTTAGTCAAGTGATGTCATTTTTTATTCAAAATTTGTGTCGGCGACATTTTCGACTGCGAGGTATATATTTTTGTAACGAAATATTTAGACCACTAATCGTTTCGTTTCCTTTTTAAACCAGGAAGGAAAATGGCAATGAAAAAGACACTTTTAATTAGAATCGAAAAGTGAAAGCTTAAATTTCTGGGACACCAAATAGGGAAAGAAGGCTTGGTGAATTTGACACTTACGGAGAATATTGAAGGCAAGATGGGCAAAGAGAAACATAAAGTAACATAACTAACGAGCTTGTACAAATGGATGATAGAAAAAACCTAGGAGAAATAGTAAAGAAGTAAATATTACTTAGAGGTACAAAGGATAGAAAGTTGTGGAGAGCCATAATCACCAACATTCTAAAAGAACACGACACGTAAAAGAAAGTTTAGTAATCTTTACTCTTTCGTGAATTCTAATATCAACTCAAATGAAAGTGAAAAATAGCTCTACTTACAAAAATCAACCACCAAACTCCTTACCAAGACATTGAGCACCAACTGTGCTC